TCATGTCGACGTCGTGTTTGAGTAGTGAACGCATTGCGTTCAGAATATCCAATTGGATTTGTTTGTGTGACGCCTCCCGCGAGACCAGCGTCGAGAAGGGCGACCCGAAGATCCGGCCCTGATTTCCAATCCCCACCCGATTGGTCCACACGAGTGTCAACTGTTGTTCGCCGCCGCTGTGACTGCCAGACGCCGCGCTGTTGGCCGCTGTGTAGCTTACAGTGGGTTTAGGCGTTTCCAGAGCGTAGATATCTTGCATGTCTTCGAGCATCTCCTGCACTATATCCGTGTCTTTGGCCAACTCTTTGAGGCCAAAGTCCTGACCGATTAGTAACAAAACCAATTGTTTTTCGGGAATTTTTAGAAGTCGACTAATTTTGTCCCGCAATTCACGGATTGTGGCCAACGACTCGATGGAAACGCCGTTTTGGACCTAAACAATGACAAACACATGGGTTTAAACATATGGTGATCAACACAATCCACACAAATGTGTTGATTTCGTTTACCACTCGTGGCGATCGGTTTAGGAAGACTGCGTTGACCAGCAGTGTGTGTGTGAGTCGTGTGGGCACCGGGAGGGACAGGAAGAGGTAGGGGTCGAATGTGTTGCTGTGTTTGCCGCACGACCGGCACACCAACGATGACCGCAACTGTGCCTGAAATAAGTCGTGAATGAAACTGCTGTTGCATCGCATGTGATTGGCCAGCGTTTCGGCCGCAATCAACTCGTCCGTACGGTTTGGCGATAAACCCTATAGTGTTGTTGTAATCACATAAAAATTTGTACACAAAATAATTAGATGTTTATTTAATTTTAATTAAAACATTTTTCAATTTTATCTAAAGATTTCGCCAAACTCTTAAGCAGTTTTTGTCTAATTGTTTGTTGTTTTCAATTGCCTGCACTTTTGTTTACCAATACTATCGGTATAATCGCTGCAATCATTGTCTGCAAATGTATTTAACTAATGATTTATAGAATTGGGAGACCCTATCGGCGGATGTCATGTGCGGCTCTCAACACAATAAAATGAGATTAAAAATACACTTTTGAAATGCAAAACACTTCGCATAACTAATGCCTTATCGCAGACCTTATTGTTATTCCTGTTGTATAACAATAAACCAGATATTA